GTTCAAACTTTGGTGCTTGATCATGCTCGGGCGACTGAGAAAGAGGATACAAAGGGATCTGCTCAGCCTCGAAGCGATGCGGCTTCTTGCGCGCAAGCACTGTGTACTCACGCTGTAGATGAGGGCATCAGGCCAGCGCTGCGCATGCTTGGGCGTGTGTGGTGGTCGCCGCCACCCAGGGGCAGAGATGAGGGCCTTCGCTTCGTGGGCGGTTCCTTGTCTGGACTGCTGTTGAGGGCGCTCTCATCTTCTACACTGTTTAGACGGAGCTCCATACCAAACATACGACCGAGAGAGCCTCCGGCACTGCCCGGTGCGGCAGGTGCCTGCAGGCCCGCCGGGCTTGTGCGCTGTGCTGCAAGTGGCGCTGGTGAGTTTGGCTTGGATGCCGACGAAGCTGGTGATGAGCGCCTGCTGCGCGGATTTCGAACAGTCTCCTCGCGAATGTTGCGGTGGTCATTAAGATCGCTACCCTGCTGCCGTGCGGATCTGATGATGGCCTTACGCTTGTGGGGGAGATCAGGAACCTCGGTTGAGGTATCAACTTCCATACGATGTGGAGAGGTGAGCTTCATGCCAAGATTTGGGGAGCGGCTGTGTAGCTCTGTGCCCATCGCTTCGCCAAGGCTTTGATGATGATGCTTCTCGGGGCGAGCATGGCCCAAGAATGCAGAGGATGGTCCAGCTCTGGCACAGTTGGAGGAGACCGCCATACGCATGTGGGATGCGAATGAGTTCGACGGCGACACGGACTGATGAGTATGACTGTTCCGCTCATTGGTATATCTGCCGAGATCAAACGACGAGCTCAAGCTCATAGACGATCCAAACGACCTGTCACCGAACTCCGCAGGTAGGTCGTCGTATTTGCGCGTTGGGGACGACGGTTGCTGGAATATGTTGTCGAGACGCATGGGCGCCCCAATGGGCGACGATAGTAGAGTGGTCATGGCGACAGGGGAGAGCCTTAGAGATGGAAGCTGGTGCGATAAGTATCAACGCCCGTTTGTGTAGCTGAGAGTGGTACGTTGAGGCAGTAGAGGCATCCACGCGGACGGACGGTGATAGATGGTTGGTGCAATTGTAGATAACGCAAGGTGTGTCCAAGTTGCTGAAGTTGAAGCCCTCACTGATCAGAGGTCATCGGTTGTTGTTGAGGAGCGAGCAAGCTGACACTGTGACCTCACGGTTGGGTGATAAGTCAGAAGATGGATGGGCCCGAAAGGGATGACCTAGGAGACGAATTATTGCGGCGTGATATGTGCTTGCCCCGCTGCAGGCAGTGGGAGAATAAGTTCTAATTTCTGTGCAGCGAATTCAGCATAGCAGCGCGTGTGCTCACGCTGAAGAGCCTCGGACGCTTGCAGCGGTCTGCGTTGGACTTGCTGTGAGCGAAGGTATTTCCGGCTGAATGCTGCTCGAAGCAAGGAGTGGCTTGATTGTCTCGCCCGTTGCGTCTGCGAGCAGGTCTGAGAGGGCGCTTGGGTTGTGATATATGGAACGGCAGCGTTGCAGCTGCTTGCAGCGCGCGTGCAGGAAGAGGCAGGCACGGAGAATACGATTGCCCAGTGATCGAGGTCGCGAGTTGTGAGATGGGGTGGGAGATGTGTCGTGGGGGTCAGGCAGAGCTGCTCGAGGTTGTCCAGCGTTGTGAGGGATGTGTTGGAGAGTTGAAGGTGAGGTGTTGAGATGGTATGTGGATTTGAGCATTGGAGAAGTTGACTTGAGATCAAGTCACCAGTGTTGAGTGTTGAGTGTTGGTTCTCTTCCCGTATGCGGTCCACATGCAGACGTCCTCAACGTCGATCCCAGCGGCGGGATCGTCGATGCGGCCGGGTCCCGCTCAGCTCTCTAGTTGGCTAGGCTGGTACAGCGCCAGTGACAGAGCAGAGCTAGGGTGCACCGGGTGCGTGGCGCTTATGCTTGCCGCGCGCAGATGCTTGCTGTGCGCGCGGCGTTGCCAAATCACAATCACGCGTTCCGCTGCACTCACACTGTGCGCGCGGGCGTAGGTTGCAGGCGTCATGCCTGCTGCTGCTTCTTTATTGCAGCCATGCCATTCGCGCGGTCCCATGCGCGAGACATTGAGCTGATGCCTTAACATCACGGCTGCACCTAT